TTGCTTATATAACTGAAGTTTTTATTTTTCAAAATTTATGTTCAAACTCAAAAGGAAAAGGAAAATGAGATGACTATACCCAAAAGGACTATAATACTCTTGGGCCATGTTTGTTTGGGCGGATTGGATTAGGTTAGATTAGCATTTCCATGACTAATAGTCCTAGGACTACGAATCTCTTTGAATTGTGTATCATATCCTATGTTTGGATTGAGGTAGGATTATAAAGAAAGACTAATAGTCCAGACTTTGGCTTAATCCTCCAATTTATATCTCATCCCCCTCTGTGGGATTGAATAGTCCATCATATATGGGATACCATATCCGAATGGATTGTTAGTCCATACTTCAATTGTTTAACCAAACATCAAATTAATAATTTTATTGGACTATTAGTCCAATTCCAAGCTCATGTCTACCCAAACAAACATGACCTTGTTGTGTGATACGAAAATTTGAAATGTGAAGTGTTTGTGAGATTATACTAATATCTGTGTTTTGAAGAATTCTCATATGTGTATTATGTAAAAACTAGGTCCTATATTTGAATGTTTATTTTGGTTGAAACAAATTTTATAATTTTGAAAGTCTAGTGTGTATTTAGTTTGCTATGTTTTGAAAATGAATTATTTATTATTGTTCAAAGGTCCTTGACTTAAGGAGAAAGTTATAAAACTGGTTAAAGATTTTTATCACAATCAACTGGCATGAAGATTATATATGTTGTCAATGTGTTGTATATGAGTATAATTGATATTTGAGAGGCTACACTAACATTGTTTGTTGAAGTGTGTGTTTGAAAATTTTATAGCTATATAAAGATAAACAGAGGAATGCTGCAATGGAAAATGCTTAATAATTATATACTTCATGAGATGGAGAAATACATTGTTGATCAAAAAAACAAAAAAAAAAATGCCTTTGGACTAGCGTTGAGGCTAGATCTGTTATTTGTCCGTTAGGAAGTCACCTAGGGAGGTAACCCATCTTCCGTGATTAGAGATCCCATGAAAGAAGTTCAATGAGTAAAAACAATTCATATAGCATGACTTGATTCTAGTACTCATATTTTAGGAGATACCATATTAAGGTTGATCTCCTGCACATCCCTAAGATAGTAGCGTTGAAAAAATGACTGGTTAGGAAGGGTTTTACCCTGAATGAATCCAAGGCAGACAATCTCTTACAAGCTGCATTCTGTCACTGCACCTTTGGAGGGTTCTACTAAGTGGGAGTTGTTGTAAGGCCATGACTTGGAGACTTGGGCTAGTCTCTAGTAATCCCATGAGAATTAAGATCTAGCACATGGCCTTTAAGAGCCCTAACTCGCGAATTGATGTCCAACACCAGTGTTGTGTGTGACAATATGAACTCTGGCTCAAAGGGTCTAGTTCAAGATATATTTCACTATGATCTTTCAGAAGAAAATTCTCAACACTAAGTGTGGTTCAAGCCTGGAAGGCTCCCACACCTATTAAACAGTATACAGTTGCCCTTACATATATATATATATATATATATTGTTTTGAATATGAAGTTTTAAAATTGTGGGGGTATTATATAAACTTTATGGTATTATTAAAAATTTTATTTTTTTTTTATTAAAAGTGGAGGAAAGTTGGAATTTTAATAAAAATAAAATTAATTATTTCTATTTAATTTATTTGGCTGCTATTAATATTAATATTGATTTTAAACATTTCGGTTACAAAGTTATTATTAAGTTTTATTATTATAATTATGTAATGATTAAATGTTAGTTTTAATTCTTATAAGATTTTCACTTATATATATTCTAATGTTTTCTAAAGATGAAGGGTGCATAAGAATAATATATATTGAGATTTTGTTAAAGAGTGTAACTTGATCTATCTTTTATATTTTTGGATAATTATAATTCGTGACTCATTCATATCCTCCGAGTGGACGTGAACATCAGATGAGGAAGGTTGTGAGCGCTTGGGTTGTATCTTGGAGCCGTTGCACTCTGGTTGTACCTTCATGTAAGGAGGAACAATGGTTTTAGAGCAGTAACTACATTCCTCTCAATCTCATACGCCAACTCTTTCTTACTCTATATGAATTTACTTATTTTCATATTTTATTTATCGTAAATCTCATAATCATTTTATTAATTAAATTATATTAGTGCATAACATTTTTCTAACAATGAGCCCTACAAGTTCAGACAATCCTCTCCAGTCCAAATTGAACTGAAAAGAAGCCTTACCTTGAAAGAAATATTGCAAAAACCCATGACACAACTCAATCGTAAGAAAGAATGAAAATTTAAAAATAAAATAAAAAGAAACCAGAAGATCATTCTTACTCTGGTTAACTCAAAACTCAGAAATCAAAAAATGGAAGAAATAAAATCAATACAAGTAATATCTAAAACTGACAGTGGAAATATTAATGTATTGTTTGGTTTCTATAATCACATTATTGCGAAGAAATTGTTTGATAATTTTATGTGTATCAATGTGTTAGTGTATATTAGAAATCAAATATAACATGATAAAAAATACTCACAAAAACCATGAATAGTAAAAATTAATATTATGGAAATTCAAAGTCTAACAGATGGTGATCGAGTTTTGTGGTTGATACAATATGCTTAAGACGAAATTTCCCTCTATCCTCACGAGTTTGAATAGATATCCATCACCCATGATACAACAATTGAGAATCTCGCAGAAGCAGCATTTCAATTTGCGAGTTTGGCAAACCAATGTAGTGCGCGGTACTCTCTTGGAGAGAAGAACTTAGTGCAAAGAAGAGAAGCCGAGATGATTTCGATGCCGAATGAATGAAATGGAAGGTTGTATTTATAGACGAATTCATGGTTCTTCGAATGGCCATTGCGACTGTTTGGATGCAAGAGACACTTCTTCCATAGGAAAGCTACAATAGAACAGTAACAAACAACATGATTGTTCTCAAAACAACGTGTTTGAATCTGAATCACATCCAATTTGGTTTTGACCCAAGTAAACAAAACAATAACAAATTTATTTTTTTTTAAAAAATATGTTTAATTTAAATAAATTTTGTCTTGCAATCATGTTCAAATGATGTTTTTTAGAATCAATTTCATATTCACCTATAATTATTTTGTGCAAGCCAATACAATTAATTAAAGAACAATCATTGTCAAACACAAGAGTATCAACTCAATGTAGTGAGTAGCAACCCACGAGAAGTATATGGTTTAGAAGCTCTCGTCTAACTTTACTGTAACTAATGGCCTTCCCCACTACTATGTGCAGATCACCAAAGATGATTTCTCATCATTTTCTACCCAGTATACTATATGCCTGAGTCTCAATTAGTTTTACCCAATGATTGTACATCATTTGACATAGAAACAACCATTATGTGGAGTATGGGATCGAACAAAATATATATAAGTATCTCACTAAAGAGATGGTGACTTGTAATTCCCATTTTGTTCACACACTTTAATTGATATAGAATAATTAAGCCTACCATTTTAGGTGAAGTCATTACATATTTTGAGTATGAAATCCATATATTTGGATCACTCATATTTTATGTATTATTCACACACCAGAAAAATAAGTGAACAAAGTTATTTTCGTAACGTAGGGAGGGTTACAGTATGAAATCCATATATTTGGATCACTCATATTTTATGTATTATTCACACACTAGAAAAATAAGTGAACAAAGTTATTTTCGTAACGTGGGGAGATTTACAACCAATAAGTGACATGGTTCGCAAAATCACCTAGTTAGTATGATGGGCCACCAAGGCATTAGCTGTGGAATGTGATGATATGCCACAAGGCATGTAAACTCCAACAGATTCACCAGAATCCCTCTAGCACCTGTGCCATAGGACTCCTCTCGTAAGCCTCCAAGTGCTCCAAACACTAAAAACCTTTTCATGAGGACATCTTGATGGATCAAAAGCAAAACTTGGGCCTTCGAGGCAAAGCAAGATGGGGATCAGGAAGTAGTAAACTGCTTGGTGATAGGAGTGTTTACCGATCAATTTTTAACGGTTCAATTTGCTATTTAAACCCGTCAATTTTTGACGGTTTAATTTGCTATTTAAACCCGTCTGCACATCTACAGTTTGAGAAAAATTAAAATCGCAATCACCCACAGTACAAATTGCAATATATGCATATAAGATTTGCAGATGAGTAGACAGTTTGCAAATTAGATTTTTCCTTTAAAAATTTATTTTGAGCTTGTTTTTCCACATTTTTAAAATATTTTTTTCAAGCCTTTTCCCCTTATTTTTTAAGTATTATTTTGGATCATAAAATCACATAATTCTTATAATAAAATCATTATTTTCCAAATGATATACCCCAAATAAATTATAGCCTATCTATCAAATTTACTTCCTGAAAGAAACAGACCTTAAGCACAGGCCGATATAAGTTAATTGACTCACATTCACTTCGCAAAAAATGTATAAGCTAAACAATATATACAAATGCGGGCAAGTGAGTGTGGATGACGTCAGGTAAAACTCACGGCCCGTCTGCAACCTGCAAAACCGAAAAATCTTAACTCACATCCAACCCTAACAAATATGTGAAATCGCCAATTAGGTGCGGGCAATTCGAGTTGAGCGATTTTCACGGGTCAGATAATTCTATGCCCAGCCCTACTTGGTGGTAGTGTTGACTATTGAAGATAGGATAACACCATGCACATAACAGTTACACTACCACCAACTAAGCCTAGGGTCTGATTCTCAATCAATGCCCTATATCAACAAAATACACAGAAGGAATTCAGTGATTTTGTTAATGTCATTCAAGCAGAAACCCCACTTTAAATTCATGTGAAAAACAAAACACCAAACAAGCCATAGGCACAGTAAACAGACATCAACCAGTTTGACACCAGCCTTCCATCACATGAAAACAATTTCTGTAGACACCTCGCACACTTTCCAATTCAACAACATGCATATCGAGTATCTCCAACATCTTGGATGCTTTCAGCTTACGTTCTTTTACAAGTTTAAAATATACCTTAGACATGCAATCTGCCTTAGTTGTTATGTCATACATTTCAATAATAAAACAAAGCATCATGCGATGTCATTGTTCTACAAATATTAGTTTAGATATCAGTTTAGAATATCAGTCTAGACATATACTAAATCAAGTAACATAATTGTCAATATCCACCACATGTACAAAGATTCTAATATTAGATTCATTTTGTTCACAGTAACACACTTCCAACTGCCCACTGGGACACCATGTGCATATTACCTTCGTGAAATCTTCAACCACACCTGTGAGTAACCAAAATATACGATCAGTACTCAAATAGAAGCATCTAAAGCAACCACTTATTCGCCAATGTTGATTACAAAAAACACTTTCATAGATGTTCAGCTTTCTATGTGATCAAAACAAATATGCGAGTACTTGCAACCTCAACTCTTATGTTTTGTTTGGATCATAGATTTGCATAAGAATTTGGAAAGGGGAACGAAAATGTAAGGGAAATGCGAATAAAATATAAATTAAATTTTTTATCCATTTCCCTCGCATTTTCTTTTTCCTTTCCAAATCCCTACCTAAATTGATGATCCAAACACAGAGTTAGTGTTCAGTAATTGCTTCAACCTACTCTAAAGTTCCAAGTTATTAGCCTAGATTTTATTCAACACATGGTACAACATAGTGCAGTCGTTTGTTTAGACTATGGCCCTATAGGTAACCCATTATACAATTCAGACAATTTTCCCCATTTAGCATACAAATTGGTGCTCTCTCTCTCTCAGAATTTAATCATTTGAAGTTTTATCAACTTTTACTCACCCATCTCAATATTTTCAGCTCTGAAACCATGTCAGAGGATGGGTGGCTAAGATAAATCTAGAATATTTTGCACCCAAGGAAGATGGGGAAAATAAGGCTACTCCACCCTCATGTGTCTAGGTAGATGGATGGAATGATTGCCTGGTGGGTTACTTTGTTAATAAGAAGTTATGCTTTTGTTAACTCTATTGCCAAAAAAACTATGGGGGAAGAGTGGTTACTTTATTAATAAGAAGTTATCTTTTTGTTGTTAACTCTATTGCCAAAAACTGTGGGGCGAGAATGGACTGATTCATGTTATGTCTAATGAAAAGTGTTTCTTCTTCTTTCGATTCAGTTTTGAAAGGGAAGCCATAGCATTTTGGAGGGAAGCTAATGGTCCTGAAGTGGTGGGACTACAGACTTAACTTGTGAAAGGAAAGTCTAATAAAATTTCCTCACTGGGCTAAATTCTTCAACGCCCCCTTCGAATATTGGAATGAGCAAGGGTTAAGCCACATTGCAAGCATTATTCAAATTCTAGCTGAATCACAAAAGAGAATTACTTTTGCCAAAATCTCTGTTCAGATTGAAGTGGGTAGGGAACTGGTGGAAAACTTTCACCTGGACAATAGGAATGAGAATTTTGAAGGGGTCAAAGTGCACCAATGGGTGCTCAACCAGTCTTTGGTTTATGCTGTACTCAGGAATGACTGGGGAAAGAAACCGAAAGTAGAATGGAGGCAAGTACAGAAGCCATAGGGGAGGCCACAGCCAATGATGATCATAATGCCCAAAATGTGGGCAAAGGTGACCTAATTCCAAGAATAAAAGAGCAACCATTGGAGCAATCAAAACTCAACCTAGGATGTAGTCAATTCGTTAAATGGGGAACATTATCATGAGGTAAGTTTTGATCAAGACCAACCTATCCATACCATACAGGTGATACCAGGTGATTCAAACAACTGTGAAGTCTATCAAATACTTTTGACAACCTGGAGATGTAGGAAGCTAATAACAAGACCCCAGGCCCATCTGTTCCAAATAAAAAGAAATGGGGAAGGCTTCATCTTCAGCCTATAACAATAAGAGTAAGAATGGGAAGGAAAGCTGACAGTGGCATAACATTAGTAGATACATACACCACAAATAAACTTGAATTCCTGGTTGGTATAAATGGAACACCAACTAGAGATATTTATTAACAAGTAATACAAACAAATGATTTTTAAGAACTAAGTAAACATTATGTTATTAAAACAAGTTACACATGAGAAATTGTGTAAATGTTCTGCATTGAAGTTATAGTATACAATAGTTCTTCATCACAATATATATAGACACATACATGCATATAAACATGCAAGAAAGAATGAAAATGAAAATTAACATACTCATAATGAACTCTTTCTAATTGCACTTAAAGCTACTCAGATCTAAAGTTTTATCTTCTGATTACGTAACGACTCAGCTTATTTATTTTTGTTGTTAATACTTTCGTCCTTTGGTTTCCTAATATCAGTTCAGGATATTGCTCAACATGCAGTGGTCATCTGCTTTTCTTCTTTCTATATGGGACAAACGGTCAAGAACAATAAAACTTCAAATACTACTTTTTCAACACTAGTAGAAATATAAAACATCCCTATTTGCTTGATCAACTATGGATAGATAAAATAAAAATAATCGTCCTGTGAGGCTGGGACTCATAAAATTTGTTCACTTAACATCTCAAAAAACTGTTGATGTAATCATTTGCAATTTTGCAATTTGGATGCATATCCAAAGAGGTATAGAATTAATGATAATCTGTGTATCCCACCAAAAATGAAATTAAAAGAAATATATTAGAAGCTTCAACTAAACTCAGCATTGTTGAAACAGACGAAAAGAAGGAAGACAAAAAACAATTTGAAGTTGCCTTGTGTAATTAAAATGCATACATGTTAAGAATCTGAAGCATAAGATCAAAAAGGCAATGCAGGGCATTGCATTAACATGAAACAATGATCCATTTGAAACCATTTATCAAAAAAAAAAAAAAATTTGATCCATTTGAAACCAAAAATATTATGGATGTGCCTAAGAAAAAAGACAAAAAGGTATCATTAGTGCTAGAAAACTATGAATTAATTGTCAACAAAAAATCATCGTGCTTATAGTAGCACATGAATTAACCATTCACACACTTAGCTCATTCTCTCTCAAAGATGGGAAAGCTCCTGGCCTCAATGGAAAGCTCCTGGCCACTGATTATGCCTAGTGGCATCACAACCACTAGGCATAATCAGTGGCCAGCACATTGCCATGAACTGGAAGAGATTACCCGAATATGTTGTATGCAATCATTCAATAAAATGGCCAGTGAGTCGAAACAGCCGAAAAATCCAGTAATGTACTGCTGTTTGTGTTTGTGTTTGTGTCAGCGTCAGCCATTGTCTTTCTCTTCCAAAGCTGAAGAAGTGAAGCTTCTACAAACTCTCACTAAGTTCTCTATGCTGTGAATATTTTAGTATGTATATATACATGAACTACCTTTCTATGGTGAAGTGGCTCTCTGCATATCTCAAGAAAAGGAATGTTTTGAATTTAATAATGGGGGTAAATTCACAAAATTTTCTTAAAAAATGGTAATAACATCAACTTGGACCTGGGCAACAGAAAGGGATAAAAGTGTACCAATGGGTGCCCACAGCCAATGATGATCCTAATGCCCAAAATGTGAGCAAAGATGACCTAATTCCCAGAATAAAGAGCAACCGTCGGAGCAAGGACAAAAATTACACAGGATATGGGCAATTCGTTAAATGGGGAACATTATCATGAGGTAGGCTTTGATCAAGACCAACCTATCTGTACCATACAGGTGATACCATCCTTTATGGGGGGCAACTCAAACAGCTGTGGAGTTCATCAAATACTTTTGACAACCTGGAGATAGAGGAAGCTAATAACAGGACCCCAAGCCATCTAATCCAGATAAAAAAATAAAAAGTGGGGAAGGCTAAAAATGAAAGGGGGGCTTCCTTAATTTCTCTATACATTAGAAGGAAATCAAGGATCATATTATTCAAAGGAATAAAATGTATCTTTATTTCGGGCTCTTGGGAAATAAAGTCAGAAGTGTTAATAAGGATATGGTCTTCGAATCTATGAATGGAAGCTGGGGAATGTTGTCCAATTACAATGATCCACTTTGTAAAGGATATGGATCCTATGGAATCAAGATATGCTGAATGTAATGTGCATTAGTACAAATGACCAGGCTATTCATTGTCATGTTAGAGCCAGAAGAAAATGGACTGCTAAGTTTCTGCCATGTATTGTGATAACGCTCCCCAAAACAGACTGGACATTGAAGCTATGGCCAGGCTATTCAACCAGCAGCCATGGCTGGTCTGTGGGGCTCTGTTAAATGGACCAGGTACATGCACGACTGCAATGACTGATTTGTGAGTGCTGAGTTTGATGATCTTAAATATTGAGGTATGCAGTTCACACAGACAAATGGTCAGGTGCTTCGAGAGATTGATAAACCTCTCATCAATGAGGCTTGGACCATGAAATGACGCAGAATTCCTGACTGCAGGAATATCTGACCATAGCCCTATCTTGGTTAAAGTGCTGTCTGCCCCTATTAAGCAAAAGAAGCCCTTCAAATTTTTTTATTGTTGGGCTGACCACCCTGAATTCTTGAATCTTGTTGCCAGGGTTTGGAGAAATCATGTTCGGGGCACTCTCATGTTTTGTCTATGCCAGGAGTTGAAAATGCAAAGTTGAAGTTGAAGAAGCTGTGCCAATCTAACTATAGTGACATCACAAAAAAGGTGGACTGGAGGAAGTAAGATCTCAATTGGAAGCAGTCAAGAAAAGTCTTAATAGTAACCCTGAAGTCTTGAGTGTCTATTACTGATGCCAAGGAAATGCTAAGATCATTACTTATTTTCAGAACTTGCTAGGCCATAAGGGAGGTGGTACTATGGTATGCATAGAAGATATGAACTTGGACTATAGTGATCAATTAAATGATGCTCAGAAGAAACAAAACAAGGCCGTTACTGTTGAAGGGATTAGAGAAACCTTGTTCTCTCAAAGATGGGAAAGCTCATGGCCCCGATGACCATAATGTCATGTTCTTCAAGAAAGCTTGGCCTGTAAATTTAAGGATGTGCTTTCCTCTATTACATCTTTCCTTTATTTTTCTTAATTCTGGTGCTATCTTGAAAGAAATGAACTCTACTCTCACCGCTTGGTTCTTGAGGTCCCTACTCTATGAAGCATGGATACTTCGACGAACATGTCGTACCGGTAATGGGTACTGGTACTTTGCATGGTACTTTGCATGGTACTTCTAGATACGCACATGATACACGAAACACGTATGCAAATTTTTCCTTCTTAATTTTTGGCTTACCCTAGACACCAAGTATATTCCCATGTGTAAGCTGGAATAGTATTTTCTTCTATACAAAGGTAAAGTTAGTCT